CACATACCACACCACCCCCCACCCCCCCCAAGGAATTATACATTTCATGTACAAACAGCCAGTTATTTCTTTTAATGCAAGGTAAGGAGATGTTTAAAATGCCATGGAACTTGAGGGACTGAGGAAGAACTGAGATTAGTTGTAACTCTTATCTGAGTGCTACTGCTGCCTAATTTATGGTCTCAAAACAGTTTTTGGTGTAGAAGACAGTCTTCTGGCAGGCTTTCTTTAGTCAGTATTGTGTAAGAGTAGTGACAGCAGGACAATTATGAGAAATTTCGAGTAACAAAAAGAACTTGATTGAAACGATCATGTTCCGGCAGAGAAAGGAACTCAGGTCTGTTGAAATCTTTTTTTACTTTTTTTTTTTCAAACATGTGTAAGTATACAAAAGGAGCAGGGTTGTTCTTGCACCCTCTGTACCTCCCATACTTGCTGTACTTCTTGATTTGCAAAGCTTGCTGAGCCAGTTTTCACCGCTGTAAGTGCCTTCAGGGTGGAGTGAACAAAGCTTGCATGACTATTCTTACTCGGGCTGCAGAAGACTCATCTTTTGCCTCAAGATTGGGTGTGCAGAAGCCATTAAATGGCAAATGGCTCTTGCTTCCTCCAGTGCATGGTTTGCTCCACTCACTTCTGAACTGGGTTTGTGAGGATAACTGCTTACTAGGAGTATCTGCTGGGTGTTGTCATTAGAAACGCCAGCGTACTTCAGAACAGCCCGCTTAATGTGCTGGATACAATCTGGATACTGCAAAACTGAAACTTGTGGGTTGTTTTTTGGTGGGTTTTTTTTCTTTACCTGGGAGTCTTGAAAACAATGATGTGGAGCACAGTTATAACCAATAGTACTTAACTCTGGCAATAAAAAGCCCATTATTGGGTATTACCTGAGAATCTTGCATATTGCTATTTGTATTTCCTGTGATAGTACTCAGGAACTGAGTAATGTCAGATAACCTTTATGCAAAGCAGTATTTCAAAAGATGCCTGAAGAGACTTAAAAACAGAACAAAAGGGGAAGAGATTGAGTGCAGAATACAACTGCACTACTAGTTCATCTCATGTCATCTCAGAGTTGAGTTGGTTGTTCAGAGTTCCTTTTGCTGTAGGTAAGAAAGCAGTTGAGACTCTGGGAAATGGAGGAGACAGTGGGAGGGAAGAAGTCTTGGAGGGCACTGGCAGTGAGTAAAGCTGTGTGGTGAACCTGAGGAAATGGTTAAATGGTTTAGAAGTTGCTCCCATATTATATAGGCAACTCTGATGTACAATGTGCTCCCCCCCTTACTAACTTCCTGAGTCGTACAGGAGGTGGTACAGCAGCTGCACAGCAAGATTAAGAAGTTCCTTCTTTCCTGCCTTGTTACTTGGGTGTGTCTCTTGCCCGTTGCTTCATTTAGAATGTATGTGTGCATGCTATTGCATATAGTAGCTTTAGATAGTCAGGTGTGTTTTCTAACACTTCTTTAACCGGGAACTTGGATTTATCCACTGCAATCGACTCTTTCCAATTGCCCAGGAGAGGCAACCTTTAAATATCACTGTACAGAAACACATGTGTGGTCTCCTATCTCTCCACAGACCAAGGAGTGGGGTTTATAAAAACTCTTCCATTAACAGCTTTTTCCAAAGTGTCCATGATTTCCAGTGCCCTCTGTTCATAGGAGTCCCATCTGTATGTAGTCAGTCTTGTTCATTAGAATTCAGGTTTTCACTTAATGTTATTAGTAACATGCTCCTTTATGTAGGCAGAAAGTTATCAATTTTCTTCTCCAGTCTTGCCTAAAAGCATTGCTTCTAGCTAATCAGAGGCAAAGGTGTGAGTAATTTCTCACTCCTACTAATGTTGATGACTTTTTTTGCCTCCCTTCCCATTGTGTTTAGATTAATCTAGAGTTCCTTGGCACAACTGACTCCCTGTGTCTGAACACCTGGTACCAAGTTCTGTCGGCTTTAGGGTGTTTTTAGGAACTGTATCTCCTGTTGATCAATATTTTCAATGAAAATGTTTTCTGAAGAAAATGAACATAGGGTGGGGGAGTTGTTTGTTTATCATTGTGTGATAGCCTTGCTTCAAATTCCCAGCTCCTACACGATCCTGCATTCTCCTCTCTGGCATCTGATTGCTTGTAGGGATCTTTGGCTCTGGAAAAAGGAAATATTGAAATGTTTCTTCAGTTTTGACAGCACAGTGTAACAGCCAAGTGCATGTGCGTACACGTGTGCATGCATGTCCCCTGCCGTAATAGCTATTGAAACTCCTACCCAGTTTCTCTTGACTTTGACAGAGGAAAGATAACAATTCCAAAATATTAATAAAAATGGTCAGGCAAGACCAGGGTTCCAATACCTGCGTCTTCAGCAGCTTCTGGTTCCCTGGATGGGCAGCAGAGTCGCTGCACAAGAGCAGCACAGAGCTCTTGGGTGCTGCAGGCAGAAGGGTGTCAGGAAAAGGAGAAGCACTTCTCTGCTCTGATACATGAGGTGCCCAGAAATATCTGTGTGGCACTGATTAAGCACCCTTTCTGCAAGGGAGTCTTTCTGTGGATTATTTGGTTTCTTTTCAAGCCCCCTTCCCCAGGGAGCAGGGAAGGAGATGAGCTTGAATGTACAGCTTAGGAAGAGATACTGCAATGAAGGAGTTTCTTGTTGTCATAAATGCTGATAGTCTCTTAAACTGCTCTTTGGGGTTGTTGTATGTGGTTTGTTCAGGATTTTTTGCTTAGTTTTTAAGAAAACCATTTGATGTTCTCCCTATTTGACCCCAAAGAAGGTACTGGGAGGGAGACTAATGGCAATGGCTAGCAAACTGTATTTAGTCAGGCGGTTGGAGGGGAGAAATCACTTGTTTAAGTTTTCTTTTTTTTAAACTATGATAATTAACTTAGTCTTACAAGAACATACGAAGTTTAAGCACCATCTTCTCCCCTTCCATACTCCAATGCACACTTAAACCCAACAAAGCCTCAAAATCAAATTAGTCTCAAAGTGTATTGTGTTGGCACAGCAGTTTTCCTTTCCTTGGTGTGGAAGAGGAGTTCATTAATTCAGTTGAAATCATTTTTCATCTCACAACAAGATAACAGTTAAACTTCAAAAACAATTTTTAAAAAATCTGTTTTGTAGGACTGACTTGCAGTCATTCCACAAATAATAGGGAAGACTTTTTCACAATGAAATTTGTGGTGCCTCCCCTGTTGATGAGATGATAGGACAAAGCTGGTGTGTGGTGCCTGTCTCTAACAGAAGCTGCTGTTCTGTTCCCTGTCCTGCTTGTAGGCATCTGCCAACTCAAATGTGTACAGCTCCAGGTGGAGAAAACTGTCGTCTTTGAAGAGGAACCTTGCTATCTTGGACTGAGAAGCAACTTTTGAGCACCAAAATACAGACTTTTTTGAGCACTTGAAATGTGTCTAATATAGCTTTGTGGGAATGTGGGCAAATCATTGGTGCATTTGACTGTTTCGAGTGTCTTGTGTTACTGTACTGCCATGCCAGGATAGGTCTTATTTAAGAAACTCTTTCACTTTTGCTCTAAAGTCTTGATGCAAAGTGATAAAAGAAGTTGAAAAAGCAAGTCCTATTCCCAGACTGCTTTATATTTCACTTCTTGTTCTGTACTTGGTTTTTTACTTATACTCATCAAAGAAGGACATGTGGGTAGAAAAGACCTGTTAAAAATTGGCTTTATAAATGGAGTACAGTTGTGAGTAATCTTAGTCTGTAGCTTTGTGTTAGAGAGGGGCAAATATGACAGGAAGTGGGAGAGATACCATAGTAAATGCTGTTTAAAATTATGTGGGAAAAAAAAGATGGTATGTGCAACTTAAAGTAGACTCCCTTTTTGAATATGGGGGGGCTTTATCTGTTTGTTCTACAGCCTGTCTTTCCAGGAGAGAACAATTCCTCCTCTCTATTGGCAGGAGAGCTTATCCTTGCTATCATTTTCTGAAATCCTGCAGACTGAAGAAGGATATGGGTTTGGGACTCTGTTTTGTTTCTTGGTTATCCACAATGGTGCCTTCTTACCAGATTCTCAGAATGCTTCTGCTTAACAGCAAAAACCTCAAGTTGTTACTTCTAATAGGTAAGGTTTAGACAAGGTGCCATTTGTCAATTTTGTTGAAGTGGTGAGATATTTATTCTACTTTGGGATTTACTTGTTCAGAAAGCATGTGGTATATCCTCCTATTTCTGGAGCTTCTAGCTGGTGGTTTGCTTCTCTTCCTTCCCCAAATCTGCCCCTAGAGATTAAAGAAGATATTAATTAAAGAGGACAGGGCTCCAGTCTCTTCCACATGCAAAAATGTATCTGTCTGTCAAACATACATAATGCATGAGTATATTAAATATATATGCCCTTATTATGGGGTCTCATGTCCCCAGACACTTTCTGGCGTGACCTCATACTCCCGCAGGTGGCAGTAGTTAGAGACCAAGGCAGAACAGCTAATGTATCCCAGCAGGAAAATGGATTAAATCTTCCCCTGAGAAAGGACTTACCATCAAGGATAACATGAAATCTTGTTGCTCTAGCAGGAAGCCAATTAGAAATCTGTTTGGTGATGATTGACTTAACTCCAGCATAAAGATTTAAATCTTGACAAGAACAGTCCAGCATTTCCCTATGGAGTCTCTCAAGTTGAAGATATGGGGAATATAATTTTAACACTGATATCTGAACCATACAGTAAGTGATTGTGATTAATGAGTTTTCTATATTGCTTGCTTTTTTCCTGCCGCTCTTGTATGCTGAGGAAAAAGAAAATAACTTGTACTGTATTTTATAGATCACAGATTTTCAGATCCAGAAAGAGTGAACTACAAATTTGAAAGTGGGCCTTGGTAAGTACCTTCTCCCTCTTCTTCCTGTGCCTGCCCACCCCCTTTTTTTAGATGGTGTTTAGATAAGATGTACTTTTCTGTATTTCTAATTTGCAAATAGCTGTTACCATTATTCTTATTTTTCTTACCACTGCTGTAGGGATAAACTAGCTGCTTTAAGTGGGAAAGGGAACAGATATTCTATGATCAGATGCAAGCCAGTTTTCTTGCTAGGCTTCAGTGTTGCTTGTTAGCTGCTGGTAGTTTGGGGTTCTGCTAATAAATGCTTATAACAGGTGTTAAGTGTGCTATGCTATTAACAAAGAATGCAAGCATTTTTGTCAAAGTAACCCTATTGGTACTAACTCTTATATTTTTCCTGCAATTTGCTTCACAGTTACTGAATACACATAATGATTATTTTTTTTGTAGGGAAGAAACATTTCCATAAAGATACTGTGTTACCAGGAAATTACTTAAGCTATGATGATTGTGTTCTTCCCAAATACGTTTTAAACATAAAGCTTCATCTACTTTTGACTGATTTGTTGTTGGGTTTTTAAAATGTAATCATGCTTTTATTTGTGCGAATACAGATTTTCCTCAGTGGTTTGCTGGATACTCCCTCTGCAGTACCACAAGAGGCTGGTGTTAAACTGGCCTTGTTTAGATTCCCATCTTGCCTGAACACTTACTTCCCTCTTCCAGATTAAGGAACAGTAGATAATGCTCACACTTCTTCTGAGCCTAAAGAAGCAAGAAAAGAATGCAGCAATATTGGCAGAAAGCACCCAGTGAGATTAGTTCAGGGCTTATTGTTCTAAGCTGCTTTTGTTTCACTAACAAAATCCTGGGATGAGGTGGAAGATTCCCATCTTATTTGTAGTAGTGAGAAATACAGAATTAGGAGGTGGGGGGGGGGAATAGCTTGGGACACACCCCCACAGAAAAGTCACCTGATAAAATAGAAGCAAGAAACATGACCCTGCTATAACAGGGCATACCTTTTGTACGAGGGAGTCCTCTGCGGCTTAAGAACACTGCATCTGCTTAATCAATCCCATAGTGTCTTCTGTGTGAAAACCTGTCCTTGCAATAGCCAGAAAGGCAGCCTTGGGTAGCCGTAAGTGTTTTGTTCTACGTGGTGCTTTAAGAGACTGCAGAAATGACCAATTAAACTGGGCTATTCCCATGCTAAGCAGCCAGTGTAGCCTGTAGCTCTGTTAGTCTCTAGTAGCACAGGGATGGCCTGAACAAGCACTGTTAAGGCTAAACTCTTTGGGCAAGAGTCCTCTGTGTGTTGAGTATAACCCTGCACAGATTTGGTCTTGGACTGTAACCTGCTTTTACACACTGTCAGAGTACGAATAGTAAGCACTAACCTCAGTTACATTTAACTGCTCTGCTTCACTTAGCTAAGATTAGCAAGTTTAATTTTATATCAGTAACCCTGTTCAAACAATGAAGAAGCACAAAGCATTGCTATGTCAGGAGTGGGGAGTAAATTGGAAACATGCTCAAAGAAATAAGAGCTCAAGGAGCGAATGTGGTGAAGTAGGAAAGGGGAGCTGAGAAAGGGGCAGCTTAAGAGAGCGGATGTTCCCTGAGGAGATACACGTGCAGTGGCTTTGGATGGTGGTGTTGCTTAGCCCTCGCTGCCCTGGCAGTGCTGCCCAGCAGACATGGAGCAGGGGCAGAAGCCTGTCCCTGGAGCACAGGTGACAAGCAGGGAGGGCGGTGTGCGGCAGATACTACAGGCAGATGTCTCTGCATTACTCCCTCTTTCTGTGCCTGCAGCAGCAAGATGGAACTTGTGGATGACAATGCTGTTATCCGAGCAAGAGGATTGCCGTGGCAGTCGTCTGACCAAGACATAGCGAGGTTCTTCAAAGGGCTAAATATTGCCAAGTTAGTAGCTAAGAATTTGCCTCTACATTTGTAGTACTCTGCCTGCATCAGTCATGGAGTTTTATCCCTTTTAAATCCTGCAGGGGAGGTGCTGCACTCTGTCTCAATGCCCAAGGTAGGAGGAATGGGGAAGCTCTCGTGAGATTTGTAAGCGAAGAGCACAGAGATCTAGCGCTACAAAGGCACAAGCATCACATGGGGAATCGATACATTGAGGTGCGTGACGCTGGCTTAGAAATCCTCCTCTCAAAAGGAGTGCAAATAGGATGCCAATCGCATGTTCTCTTTTCTTTACTTAGGTATACAAGGCAACAGGTGAAGACTTCCTTAAAATTGCAGGAGGTAATTTTTAGGGAGTGGGAAGGGAGGGTTTGTTCCATCAGCACCTGTAACTTACTTCTGGCTGTAAACTGCTCCTGTTGGATGTTGCCTTTCATTTTCTTTCTTTGAACAACTAGTTGGCTGGTGTGTTGATTACTATGTACACTGCTAGCAACAGTTCAAGGCGTTCCATGATTTATCTATCCATCTCTCTTCCACATTCTTGCCATTTTCAAGCGGCCTATCAAATAAGGATGTGATCAGGCAAGGTGATCTTGCATATGAACTTAATTTGTTAGGTCATTTTAAGTGAAGGGACCTAAATGTTATTGAATGCTGAAATTCAATTCAACAAAACCAGAGTTGTTTTTCAAAACAGTATGACTGCTGTTGCTGTGGAGACTTGCGTGTAAAAGCAAACAGATATCACAGTGTAAATAACAAGGGATTTATGGAACTGATTTTCTTAAAATCAAATCTTTGCTTCAAACTAAAGGGGGACTATAGCAGGAATACATATTTAAGGGGAATATTGAAATATTTGTAGCCTCAAATTGAAAGGCTGCAAATCTTGCTCTACAAAGTCTCCCATGTCTCTTTTCCTCCCCTTTATGACTGCAAGCACACTAAATTTGAATTAAGATCCAATAAGCTGTTATGTATCTACAATACTACCTTAAGGTCCTTGTTGGTTCCTGATGGAGACTTGGTCTGGGGATTGTAAATGACTATCTGGATGTTTGAGGTTGAGGTTTTAGAGTGGGAGAGGCTATTAAGCTGTCAAATAAATAGCTGATTGATAGGCTTAGTAATTGTTATATCATTCAAAGGGAAGACATTGCACATGGACACTGGTGGTGCCAGACACACACCCTTTTTCCCCAAACAACTTTGCAGAATGAGCTGGCTGTAAGTGAAAGGACCATATTAAGATGTGAAGTTGGTTAGCAGCTAGCTTGGTTAGGGTAGTGTTGTAAGTATGAGCATCAGTGGTCTTCTAGAGATACTGAAAGTAGAATTAGCAGACTTTGACAGTTTTATCAGGATAGGATGAAATTCCTGAGCTGTTTTCAACATGTCCTTCCAACCTTCTTTCTCAGCACAATGGTCTGGGTACTTGGTTACTATGTAATACGGCTTCAGAGCATGCCAAAGGTATTCATAAGGTGGAAAGGCAAGGTGCACAGTAGTGCAGATATTGCTCATGCAAGAGATTCAGATTGTGCTCTCCTTGGGCTGTGAACATTGTAAGTACTTTATTTTCCCTTTGAATAAGGATGAAACTCTTCCAAATTATGAAGTAATATTGTTAGACTCCAATAGGAAGTATCCTATACAATATTTCTAGTTTATGAAAGTGGGACATCTTTTCTTGACTTTGGAGGCAAATGTTGTTCTACACGCTCAAAAACTGTGGTGAGGAGGAGGTAGCTATGCCAGGCTTGCTCATGATTTTATGTGGCTGCCTAGACTTAAGAGCTTCTGTACTTCTTTGTTAAAGGCACTTCCAACGAGGTTGCGCAGTTCTTGTCGAAAGAAAACCAAGTGATTGTCAGGATGCGAGGTCTTCCTTTCAACGTAACAACAGAAGAAGTGCTGACGTTCTTTGGCCAGCACTGCCCTGTAACGGGAGGAAAGGAGGGAGTCCTGTTTGTCACGTACCCTGACAGCAGGCCAACAGGGGATGCCTTTGTGTTGTTTGCTTGTGAGGAATATGCACAAAATGCACTGAAAAAGCATAAGGACTTGCTGGGGAAAAGGTACATCGAACTCTTCAGGAGCACTGCAGCAGAAGTTCAAGCAGGTGGGTGTAAAGCTTACAAACATTGGCCTCTCCTAATCCAAACTCCTACACTGGCATATGGTAGTGGAAGCAAATACTGCTTGGCCATGACTTGAAAGCTTCTTTTCTTTTCTCTTGCTCTCAACTGTTGCTGGAAAGAGTACTGTCTGAATTTCCATGAGGTTTTACTCCCTCTAAGTGGAAGATCTTGTGGTATATGGATGTTCTCAATCATATATACAACCCTTTGGGGGTTTGGCTTCCAGTAGCCTTGCAAACAGCAGTTATAACAGAAAGTTTATGTGGGTCTGGTGCTTTACACTACAGATACTGAATTTAAGTCCAATGATGGTCTATTCAGGAGGAGCTTTAGCAACAAATCTTGATTTAGAAGACTTATCTTTAGTTACCAGCACAGAAAACTGGAGCCTCTTGATGTAGTTGTCCTCTTCAGAGCAATGTATCTGAAGAGTCTTACAAATTGCCTCTAAGGGCAGGTCTCAGTCACCTTCTGCCAGCACTGGCTACGTAGCAGAGGGTGGTAGGATTTTCA